ACGGGTAAGGGCATGCCAGTGAACGTCGTGTGCTAGTGAGTGGTACCCACGAGAGAGTAAGCGACCATCCGGGCGGCCTCTGAAGGGGAGGACATACGTAAGCGATGGATGTTAGCTGAAGACATTCATACATGTGAATTCTATAAAAATTGCTAGTCGCACTGTGAATTCTACAAAAATTCAATTTCTTTTGGAGACTGTCGTTGCACGTATCGCAACTACCGAGCAACGAAAAATTGCCTAAGGCACATTATACATTCAGTCCAGACATCGGTGAACCTGCCAAAGAAAAAAGGTTTATTAATAAATGCTCTATGCTCTGTTTAAAAAATACATGTGAATATTTGCTAGTCGCACTGTAAATTCTATAAAAATTCAGTTTCTTTCAGTTTTATAGAAATTAGCCAAATTTACCTGCACTAGTCCTGCCATAATAAAAGCTACAGCAGCCAAAATTCCGCCGGTTGCCATTTTTCGTAGCGGTGTAATATTGCAAAATTTACGAGCCGTTGGATAGATGAACGCTTCGAAGATGGGCACCATAATCAGGATGATGAGCGGATTTAGCGTGTTGATCTGATCGGGTAGTATTGTGAACGGGCCAACACGACCGTCCATGCGTCGTGCCTGCAGCACCCAGGTACTGCCCTGGAAATGTAACGCATTCAGCTTAGTTCGATGTATTTTGTTTAATTCATAAAACAAATTGCGTTTTCAGCCTAATGGGCCGAAAAGTCCTCTTTTTCTCGGCCTCTTCTCATTCTCGACTTTCTTCTCTTAGCTTTCCCACTAAGTTCACATCAACGTGAGCATTTCGCCTCTTTCACTAGAATCATGTCCGAAATTGCACAGTCTTTCCTTATTCATTTTCTTCCCATCCCGTGATCTTAAAAATGCAATTGCACTCATACCCGGTACACGGAGAGGAGGTCTACTTCTATGCACGTGTGGGCAATCTACGCCCACGCTCAGGGATGAAACACAGTATGTCCTGAAGTATGCTCATCGGTGCATATAGTTTATTAATAAAATATCTCAATCTAAATATTTTAGCATTTGCAAATAATATCAATAGCATACCTGTTGATCGAATAAAGCCCAAAATAATATCACTGGCCCAAAGAGTACCGAAACAGCAACCAAACTTTTTACACCTGACAGGAAATAATTGCTGTACTTTGATGCTGCATAATCAAGCCAATGCTCAACTTTATCCTGGCCTCTACAAATACACATTTCAAGAATAATAAATGATTCTGGAATAATAACAGGTCAGAAGCTAAAAGAATAAGTAAGGCTAAAGGAGTGTAAACAGTATATTACACGTGTTATTTACAAGGAAAATACAATAATACAGCGAAAAGAGGGGAAAATCAACTAAGGAGACCTGTTTTGGATCCCTATCCAACTCCGCAAGTGGACCTCGCCGGTAAGGTGGTTTTTATGCGTTTTTGCATCTTATGCAAATGCAGAAAACTGAGTGTGTAGGTGTTTTGTTCGGGTAGTTCAAATCGGCAATTAGGTAAGCCCTGATGTTGTGATTTTGTTAGTGGGCTCGCTGGCAAAGTGCTACGCAAGAACGTGGTATAATTTCCATGCACATCCGAGTCGCAGATGCGGACAAGTGAAAGTTTCGGCCGGAGAAGCTGCTAACTTGAGAATCAGAACAGTTCCAATACAAGACCAGCATTTTTATTTTTTTGCGAAAAATTATATGAGTTTGCTAGTTCAAATTTCATCTTCACCAGGACTCAGTTCTTGCCTTCGGACATGACTTCACAGCTGAGTTTGATTTCCTTGAGTTTTTATCATACTTTTTTGATTTCAAATAGCGCTGATCAAAACTAAGCAATTTCCTTCAGGAATTTGATATCGTATCAAGAGTAAAAATTTCCTATTTCAGGGCCAGTATGGTCTCAGAGAAAATTCATAAGAACGATACACGAGGGCGAATCATTTATTATTAGCAAGAATTTTCATCATTCATAAGTCTCATATTTTTAAAGTATTAATGCATATGAGTGCTGAAAAGTGTGATTGGCACTCATAATTATGAGAGTTTAAATTTTTGAAGAAAATCAATTACTTACTTGAAGAGAGCGCTAATTTTCTTCTTTGCAGCATAAATTATACAGCAAAACACGCTGAACACAACGTTTCCTTTTGCAGCTGGTGCTATTTTATAGTAGCGCCAGCCGCTTACGAACAATATGAATGCGAGCAGCATGAGAACACCGGGCACACCTGCAATCGTAATATCTCCGTGAGTTCTGAGGTCCGGATGCCCGATCAAATGTTGCCGTGACGTCTGTGCTTTTGCATAGTTCCTATGCCGCAGTTTAACACTTGGACTCATATTAGCTGTGTTTCGAATAAATAAAAGAGTACCTACACGTAAACCATGACGCGTGCATAAAATTCAGAGCGTTTGCCCTTGGCCCGAAATATGAATTACGAAAACAAAAAATTGTAGTGCTAATTCTGAAATTGTAGACGAAAAACCGGAGCAGAACTGTTTGACAGTTCCGTGCGCCAGACAAACATGTGCTTTTTTTAACGGCAAGCGCTCTATTTTGTAGGCAGGTGAAAGATAAAGCCAAAGACTCCACATACTTCACTTGTCTTGTCCTGCCGATGAAATAAGAATTGGGCTCGGTGAAAATCAAACCACTCGCCTCCATAGGCCGGCGCGACACGCTAAACCACTACACTAATGTACTCCATACACCGAGTCTGCATGTCGCTGACAGGTACTTATTCCATAGTATCGAAATATAAGTAGCGTAAACTCGTCAAAACATCAGGGCTTTTCGTAAGAATTTTGCGACACCGTGAGAAAGAGAGAGACATTTAGCCGCAATTCGAGGCATAGAATTTTGTCAACAGCAACCATTCGCTGATCGGTGCAGACACACTAACTTTTCCGGCTAGAACTTCTGATTATTTAGCAAACTGAAAACAACTTCAAGGCCTTATAGGATAAAACACTGTCAATTTATCATTATAACGAATTAGCGGATTCTGGAGGGAATGGTTTCTCCACTGGCCGACTCGAACTAAGAAAAAAGCGAGCCTGGAAAATGTACCTCAAACCAAACCAAAAATCAGTACCAGGCTAATGGAAATTCGCATTCACTGCGATCACACACGTGCAGCGGACATAGACGAGCACTGCAGAAAGATGAGGTACTCAATGAGCCCAACGGGGTTTCGGGCCGAAGCAAATAAAGTGTCGAAGTTAACAAACAGAAGAAGTTTCACTTACCAAATGCTAACGGAAAGCAGTACTCGGATCCAAAACATTTCACCCGTCCTCGAAGCATCGGTGTTAGCAATATTGCCACAAGGGAGCCGGCATTTATGGCAAAATAGAAAAATGAAAAAAACTGATTCCTTTCGTTGACTTCATGTTCTTCAAACTAGAACTGATTTAATTTTGGTATTAGTATGAATGCAATCATCGCAATACCATCAAAATCAGTAAAGCACTTACCTCAGTGTCAGAACCACTCCATACATCGGCGGGGTGGTAGGACGCTGGGGCCCCACCGGCAAGTTGTCACTTATCGAGTACATCTATGTGTGGCTTTTTGATCCTGCGCCACATACCTCAATTTAGTACCCCATCCCAGTCCTTCGAGAGTCAATTACGCCTTTGCCGGCAAAGCGAATAACGTGCATCATTCATAGGATTTTCTCTTCTCGCATGATAACGAAGACTTTATGTTGAAATGATGAAGGCAGTCAGTTATCTGATTAATTTCGATAACCATCGTCAAGAAGATAGGAAAAGCAGCAAAGAGAATTTTGGAAAATTCCAAAGAATAACGTTTGGTGGATGAATTTCAGTTTGCAGATAACACAGGGCCGTGCCGTTTGCTTGTTTGTCAACAAGCGACTTTTCTCCAACTGGGGTATGTAGTCCATTTGCTCAATTTATATAGTCTAAATTTTGTCGAATCTCAGAATATCTCGTAGTTCTCAGAGTACGCGAACAAGGAAACGCGAAGCAGCAAAGAAGGGCGCTGGAACTGTGTCAGGAAAACATACCTGATCAGCAGCAAATGCGGAGACGCAAGGCTTGATGCCGCCGGTAGCTAGTGCGATCACAGCCAATCCGCTGAAGTCAAGCATCGACCGGACAGTATGATCCAACTGCGGTACAGCACCGACCGAAAGCAATACGTGACCCATTACGTAGAGGATGGATACCCAAAAGATTACTCGAAACCGGCCGAAGTAGTTGTCGGCAGCGATTGATCCAATCAGGGGCGAGAAATAAGCAAGCGAGACGAACGCGTGGTAGAAAAGCGAAGCTTGACTGAAATTCAGCGCTCGGAAATCCAGCAATTCTTGCGCGCAGGAGGTGTAAAGGATTTGATATTGAATCTGTACATAATATCAGTTTTTTCCTATTAAATCCAACGCAGTCAGTAAGACGCTTTATTGCGGACTGACAGTCGTAGCGTTGAGACGAGATGTTGAAATGGCGAAAGTCTTGCCAAAGTGCTTCTGTCGAGCAACCGCTGAGCGGGTAATCTCTCCATGAGATGTG